AAACGACGGCGAGGCACCGTCGACAACAGGCAGGTCATTATGCGATAATAAAACGTGGATTACTGGAGCGTGCATTGTTCTCCACGCAATAATAATTTCGCTTATATCGTATGCAGGATCCACTTATCAAAACGGGGTAAAACGACCTCTTCAAGGGCTCATAATTGCATTACACCTCGTTTCAGTGAATTTCTGATATATTTCGTTGATCGAACCTGCTAATGATTTTACGCGATATTCATGGCAAACAATGTCTAATATGTTATGCGTTTCGCGCGAAGTATAAACTAATCGCATTAGTTTCGCGGCGTTCATGTATGACGCAGCATGCAAACGGCTGAAATCACCAACGCGTCTAAATCTATTATATGCTAGCGTAAATTAATGACTTAACGTTTAACGCTGCATGAGAACGTACATCGACGAAAGCCGACTATGGTAGAATGGCTGCTGTAACAATATCGAAATTGTTTTGCGATAATCTTCATATCTCTTCGCGTTTAAATTTCAAATTAATTTTTCACTTCTTTCGCACGCAATTATTCGAAAGTCATTTGCCATTTTATAAATTATTTTCGAAGAATGTTTAATATGCCTTTGTTCCAACCATTTCCTGGATCAGACGTGTGAGTTTTGTTAGTAACGTTTATTAGTAACGTTTATAAAATTAAGCATTGAACGTTTACGCGCATGAATCGATACGTTCATGCGCGTAAACGAGATACGGGATTTTTTGTTTTTCATCGTAGAAAAGAATTCCCGCAAATTTATCTCCTCGACTATCGCCGTAACGAGGGATGGAAGAGAAGAGTTAACTGCGTCCTGATGTATGCTTAAAAATGTCTAAAGCGATGTGGGCAAGGATGCGAGCGGTTTTCCATACTGCGTCGTTTAGCAACATTCGTTGTCGGCGCGCGCGAAGGGGACGAGAAGGGTAGAACGAGAGGGTTTAACGCGTTAAGCCATCTTGTTTAATATGGCTTTATTACGTAGGTGGTAACGAACCGCCGGGAGGCCATTATGCGGCGATAAAATGCGCAATGCCCGTTGCACGTACATGTCGTTTCGCGTGTATTCCAACCCGCGCCGTGATATGACCATGCGCGTCGAACGGACCGGACGGGGCACGCGTTCGCGATAAACGCCTGCGGTCGTGTAAAGCGTTACGCCATGGTCGTCATGGCTACGCAAAATTTAATTCACCTGTGAAATCGAACATTACGCGCGCGCGTAGCGCCGCGCACGAGATTTTTTGCAAAAATTGCGTTACCTCCGCGAGCTCGTGCTCGCGGAGGTAACGCTACGTAGCCCGCATTTGTTCGCTCTCTCTCGATTCTCAATGGCTTCTCGATCAACTTCTCGTTATCGTGCAGTGAGAGTTGCGATAATAATTCTCATACGGCTGTAAGATATCGCGTATACACGTATACAATTTAATGGACGTTACTCCGTTAAATTTTTAATCCGTAACGTTAATAGATCGTGAATAACAAAATGTCAGGTTTTATTTATTTATTTATTTAAATCTATACAATAACGAGAAATATTCTGTATATATTGGCGTGAATTCAATGTAGATCGATAATTGCGATCAAGGTACATCCGATACCTTGTGAAACTTTATCGTTGAGAAACGAGTATTCTCTCGTCGCCACGGCAATCCAATAGTCCGTGGAGTCAACAACAATTTTTCTCTCTGCCAGCCAGACCACTTGTAATACATGCGCCGCGGGCACCTTCCACTCCGTCGCGGTTTATCCTTATCGTCCCCGGAATTTCCTTCCGACGCGAGTCCGCAATTTCCGCCCTCGCGAAGGGGCCCAGGCACATTCGTGTCGCCATTTCTCTAGCTGGTTGCGGAGGACAGCGAGGCAGCAAGGGGAGCGGATGGTATCCGAGGGTTGGTTTTCTCGAAACGCGAGGGGCAAAAGGGTGAGACGGATGAACGGTGTGAGGTACGTCAAGTACGTGTGCCGTATTTTCTGCAGAGTCGCGGCCTCCTAAAATGTCGGGTGTCGTTGGCGGAGACGCCGGAAACAGCCAGTCGAGGGTGGGTGCAGGTGATGGAGTAACGGAAAGCGGAGAGGGAGGGAAGAGCGAGAGGAGGACAGACGGATTTGGTTATGCGTCGCCACGACTCGGCTGAATTTGTCGTCGTCACCTCCTACCGAAGGAGGGAGGAGGGATGAGAGACTCAGAAAAGAGGGGTTTTCGCGAGTACCCCCCGGAACAACTTTGGAAGAGACCGAAACGCGGTGTAAATTTTTTTCCCTTCGTTCCCCTCTCTTCTCTCGTAGGAAACATCGTTCGGGAAAACGTCAGTTGCACTAGTCATTGTGACTGTAGTGGAGGGTAGACGTAGACTCTTGAGAATTTGAGTCTCTTTTATATATATTTTTTTAGTGTCTGTCGCCATTCCGGTAGAAAAATGAAACTTATAATTACGTATATTTGTAAAACTGAAATAAGTCTATTTTATATTTAATGCACAGAAAAAACTTTACAAATGAAAAAGTATAAATATGTATTTATATTCACATCTTACAGTTCTTTAAAATGCAATATTGCATAATTAACAATTTAAAAAATGTTAAATAACGTACAAATATATATGTTAGTTGATATGATTGTAATTTTTCGGATAAAGTTTAATATATTTATCTTTTTTTAAATACTGATCGAGAAAATCTCTTCAAAATTGACTGAAATCACAATTAAATCTGTTACATCTACTTTTTCAGTCGTACCCATGTTTACCCGCGGATGAGGAAACGCTACATTTAAATTATAATCCTGCCTTTTACGCAAACTTGCAAACAGACACGGCAATCTAAAAATAGCACTTTGTGAAGTCGAGGATTCTGCCTCTTTTTCGGATTTATGAGAACCACAGGAGGGCAGGCGACGTGTTAAACGTTTCTCTTCGGGGTTTTATACACACATTTGTATTACTTTTATCTCGACGGCGGTGTTGTGAAATATACTTGCGCATCAGTTCCTAGATGCAGTCGGATATGCCCGACAAATTTCGTGCCTTGACAAAAATAATAGAAGATCGTATTTCAGTGCGAGCTCAAAGTACTTTACAACGGACGTATCTAGATCGCGACAAGAGACATGTCTGCACGGACACTCTGAAAGTTTAAATCAGAAAGACAAAGCCCTCGCTTGTAGCCTTTTTACGCGAGCTATAATTTTTCATTAGCTGTTCTGTGAGATTTATTGAACAGAGGTAATCCACTATTCCGCTTATTATTTAAGTATTTTATTATTTAAACGTTCTCTCGAATATTGTCTTTGAAATAAATAGCAAAGTTAAGGTACATGTATGTATATTTTTGATCTGCGAAAAAATTCAGCAGCGAACCAAAAATCTCATAACTCAGTACACATGAGGAATCAAACGAAAGAGAATAGTGCGCGGTATATGATCTATGCTAGAGTATATATAAAAGGGTGAAAATTGTTTGTTGTTGCGAGATCAATGAGTCGCGATACGTTGACGAGAACGGTATGGCGCCAGTTATCCCTTCTCTGACAGGTCGCGATTTACCAGCTGGTATGGTTCGCAGTCGCTCCTCCAATCTCTGACTCAACCCCCTATTCCCCCACCACCACGACCCGCTTCTCTTTCCGTACTGTGAATTCCCTCAGCTTGTTAATCTCGCTAACATCGCGCCACAGGTGGTGACCTCGTATTGTCTCTTCTCTGCCGTGACCTCATCAACGTCAGCCGTCTTCTATATTACCGAATAGATTATTTACGAGCTTAATAACGCACGGTTTCTCCTTCCATTTCACGAGCGATAACGTCGGCCCCGCCGCTTCAGCATGCAGTGACGCACGTGTTTTTCTGTGATGTTTCTCTTCTACGTTGCGAATCAACTTTGGACGCTTGGACGAACGACATCGTGCGGATTTTTCGGGGTTATACGGATTTTTAAATCAGATTCAATTGCGGCACGAATCCTAGGAGATTACCTCGGATTTACGATGGGGATTTGTATCGTGTCGTCGCTTATTGTGCCCGACAGTCGGATACGAATCGCCGTCGCCGGCGTTCCGTCGCAGTTAACGATGATTACATACTACTCATTGTCTTTGATAACCTGTTTAGGAGGATAATAACATCCAATCCTCGTACCATCTCGCGGAAATCTATTGAGTCGCATTTGCTCTAAGCTTATGCCTATCGCATTACGTTTACTGTCCGATCTTACGATCATGGAAACCCCTCCGGTGTCTGGATCATAACGTTGAACGAACGAGCTTTCTCAAGTAGGAGACTGATACTCTGTGGTTCCGCTTATCTCTATACAAACGGGCATTATTCAGCGTTATGTTCTGCGCAAACTGCCGATTGACAATGGCCGCTTGCCGAAACTAGACAAATGTGATTTGTTTTTAATACCGTTCCGCGATTTAGAACGATACATGCCAATCTCTTGAAATTCACAATATTATAAATGGAAAATCGGTTTATTATCTATTCTTTGTGATTTACGATTTATAATAAATATGTAAATTAAAAACTCAGCCAAAGGATATTTGCAGATGTATTCTGTTTTATCAATATTATTTTCGTTTATATCTTAAAAAATTTTTAACTATAAAAGTGCACAACAGAAGTATTTTCAATTTTAATTTATAATATAGTGGGCCAAAAACAAAATATCTTCTCCTTAATAAATTGGTAATTAATTTAAAGATATTGATAAAAGATCCTCTACAAAATAATTTTAAATTTGACTTTTTCTTCTGTCTATAGTTACATACTCTATTAAAGACGTTATAAAATTATTATTGAATTTTATATTATTTATACAAAATTTTGAAAAGTGCATGTGTTTTTTTATCTTATCCATAAACGTCAAAACACGTCTTACAATTATTAGAATTTTATAGTGGCTTGAAAGCGTGGTTTAGTTCTACGACCATCCGGAGGATGGTTAAGCGTCCTCTCGGATTTGCTAACGTGGCTTTTCTTTCTTTTGTTTCAGGGGAGAAGCCGTACAAGTGCAGTTGGGAGGGCTGCGAATGGCGATTCGCGCGTTCGGACGAATTGACGCGTCATTACCGCAAGCACACCGGCGCGAAGCCGTTCAAGTGCCGGCATTGCGACCGATGCTTCTCCCGCAGCGACCATCTAGCTCTCCACATGAAGAGACATGTGTAATCAATCGTCTCCGCGAACGATCCCGGCCGCGCGTCACGCTCCGCGGTCGAGACCGTCGGGACCTCTTCCTCGTAAAGATCGCGAAGATCCTCGACGTCCGCGCGACGGATTTACACGATCTAGAATTATCCGGGGTCATTCTAGTAGCATGCTGCAAATGGAAGGCGATCGATCACCGAACGCTTAAACTTGATGAACAAACATCAGAGATCTACGAAAGTAGCTGTGGTGGTATTAGGTGTTCGAGATTCGTCAGACTCCGTCATTGACAAAAACTCATTTTCGAAGGTCACTTGTTCGAAAGATCGACGATCAGCGAGATGTCATTTGGAGACAATCGAAGATCGAGTTCGTGTCTGAAACGATCCACGAAGGCGATTCGGAGGAAAGCTTGACGAGCAATCAGATGACGTGCTATAGCACTTCATCAATGTCCAAAGAGTCACGTGTGCAACGTAAATTTTCATCGACATGCATTTCGTCGAAGTGCACTGACATATAAGATCAGGGGGGGAAAAAAGTAAGTGATCAACGACACTTGTCTGTAAGAGCCAAAAGGATCGCACGAAACAAATCTTCGATCCCGCAAACTCGCGCGAATTTGAGGAAACGAAAACATCGATGGTCAGCAATGATCCGGAAAAGAGACAGAAACCGATGTAATACAGGGAGGGACCTCCAGAGAAGTTGTCGAACAAAAAGTCGCCTGGGAAGTCTTGCACGAGAAACGTCAATCACTGCCAATTCGTTACATTCTAAGATCACCGTCGAAGATTTTAAACTGCGACTTTAGCAACCGGAGGTCTTCGAGACACGAGAAGCTGACTGAAGAAAGCCTAAAGTTTTCGCCGATCCTCAGTGGCGAACAGCACGGACGGATGCTCATTTATGATAAAAAAAAGAAGAAAATTGTAATATTAAATAAAAAATACGCTCCTATTATATATGTATGTAGCACAGAACAAACCGTTTATCTTTTTCAAAATCGATCGAGTCAACGGTCATTGCATTTACCGCGTCGAGATGCGTCGAGTATCGCGAGCACCGTCGCGCGTGCACTGAAAACTAGAAAAAAAAAGACGTAGATTTCGTGAGGACAATAATGCAGACTGTCGGTGCCAAACGTTATTTCCTTTCTCTTAATTTTCCTTTCGGGAGCTCCGCGAAGACATTTTTGCGGCTAAAATCACGCGCGTGGCACTCACGATATCGCTGGCGATCTCTCTCGACGTATCGAAATCGCGCTCTTAACGGAGAGTCGAGGTGGATGCATAATTGAATACGTGATTTCGACAGCAACGAAGATTCGCTGCGCTAGGTGCTAATCCTGAATTTACAGTGCGAATTACACAATACGACTCGCCGCCATGTTACCGTACAATCCGCTCGCAAAGAAGCTTACGAATGCGAGATATGACTGTTTCGCTTTGCTACTTACAGCTGATTTTTACTAATGCCGACGCACTCCAGCTTTCAGATAATCATAATCGCTCGATCGTCATTGTTGACGCTGCGCTTTTTTATTTTTACAGGAAAGAAGGAAATCTACTCGAACTTTGCATGCTTATGGAGAACATAAAGGGCTTTTTCTCTCGTTATCTTTTCCGTAGCATTATTCAAAACATGCGCGAGTAAGGGGATCGTTCGGCGAGACGATCATCACGAAACACTCAGCAGAATATAAATGATATATATATATTTTTTAATATTCTCGTCATACTCATTGAAACAATGTAGATAAGGAAATATATCACGGGCTGTATAATCCGCATAAGACTTTCGTACACTTTTCACGCAGCCGAATATTTCGCGAATGATTCCCTGCCTCGTGCATGATCCACGGCAGACGATCGATTTTATTGTTTTGTATTTTGCGAACGCGTTGATCTAAAAACATGCGATTATCAGCGGGAGATTGCTCGTCTCGCTCATCATCGATCTCTAAACGATCCCGAGATTTAAGAAATCGCGCGCGACAGAATAATCGAGTATCCGAGCAACGATATCTCTCGAAAAGAAGAAAAAAAGAAATCGTACGAAATGAATCGAGGTCGTTGTTAGCGCGTACTCATAAAAAATGAGAGAAGGAGAAAACTTCAAGAAGACTAATCTTACCTGACCGTAAGAAATGAAATAGCCAAGGAGCTGAGAAATAAAGAAATAACTAAATTTTAAATGTTCAGTGGCCAAATAAATTAATTGATACGCACGTAGAATCTAAAGATAACGTACCTACCGACTGACGAGTGTCGGCACGGTTCGTACGATTGCATGTGCATGCGAGTGCGGCTGTGCTATGCTGCGTGGATCGTCGATGCGCGCGTGTTACGTATCTACGAGTATGTATGTACGTGTATGTATGTGTGTACGTGTGTGTAATTTTTTCCACGGGTATTCCAAACCTGAAAGGTGAAGAATCCAAGGAAGGAGACGAGCAGAACACTAAGTTTGTATATTGTGCAATTTTTTCAATGTTTTATTATTTGTTACCATGTTCACGATTAATTATAAATAAATAAATAAATAAATAAATATATATATATATATTTATATATATATATATATATATATATATATATATATGTAGCATTTACTAATTTTAAGATATAACGGCTACGAAGCCAGACGTCTTTTTGATAGCCATATTCGGATACTGTGGTCGTGTCGTGTTCGCGACATCCCCCCCCCCAACCCCGATCTTTTTTCTGACGGGCGAGATGTAATTAAAAGTACGCGTAGTACAAGGGAAAAGAAATGGCCGCGCGAAGAATGCGAAGTCTCGTCTCTGACCTCGACGACCTCTCGTTAAATTCCATACCGACCGCTAGAACGAAAGTAACAGAAAATGTAATGGTCTTTGTTTAGAGCCAGAGTCCATGCATGCATAATTTGCTCTTCAGTCTCGTGTGTCTTTACACTAGGTTCGTATTTAGACTTAGTGTTGGAGAAGGGATGACGAGCCGACATCGCAAACGGGAAGATTTTTCTAAGCAAAAGGTCTTTGTCGTCACGACGAGCGTTTCCGGCATTTCCAATCGAGGTGACCAACGAACTCTGTAGATATATATATCGCTAAGCGAACGAGACCGGAATGCGTGCATTTGCGCGAGCAATTAAGTAACGACAAAAGAAAAGCTCGGATACTTTGAATAAAAAAGTAGATAGACGTTTAGATAGATGGATAGCTAAATCGTTAGATAGGCATTTAGATAGACAGATGAATATTATAAATCGAATGGGAATAGAGCGTGTGCGCCACAGAGTGCTTGAGAGACAGATAGAGTATTATATATAAATATAAATATATATATGTAGGTAGAGAGATGGTTATACATAGATAGAAATGTAAGTATCTAAGAAAACTCTAAAGAATCTTAGGAGAAGCAGTATCGTTGTACGAGGTACGATACGTGAACATAAATGTTTTATGAAACTCGTGTACAAGAAAAACGAGATGAATACCGAGGAATAAAAAAATAAAAGCATACATAAAATTAAGTGGTAATAAAAAATTAAAAAACAGTACGATTACAATTGTATTATCGTGGTCTAAGATATTTTCAGTCATGTTGTATAGTAACTGTAAATTACACGATTTTAAAGGAAAGAATGCAAGAAAGTATGTGTATGTGTAATGTATGCATGTAAAAGAGAGAAAATGAGAGAGAAAGGAAGAGAGGATGACAGGAAGGGCAAACGTAAAAAGTGCGGCGCGACTTGTATTAGATTATCTTTACGTAAAAAGAAGTAGATTAAAGATAAATTGACGAAACGAACGGATGACATCGGTCGAGTGTCGCGAAATTTGTATAATAAACTCTCCTCCCCTTTCCCCGAGGATTTCGGCACAAGCGGTAAATTGTAAACGGGACGCGAGTTTAAAGGGAATGTAAAAAGAGCCTCTTTTTAATAATAATGTTAACAATAAAAATAACAAATACTCGCGGCAACAGGGCACTGGGTGACGAGCGGAACGCTGGATGTAACCATGTAAATTTTGAAGCATTTATCTCTGATACGAGTGGAAGGAACTTGATGTTACTATTAAGGAGAGTCATGAGAAGGAAGAAGTATTAATTAACAATTTGCCGCAATTCAGGACGTCTGCGATAATTTTATGAATTAATTTATTATTTGGAAGTTTTTTTTCTTTTTTAACGCTTTGTTATTTTCTCTTTTATAAATATTGTCGCAGCTTTTCTGCGCAAAAAAAATTTTTACTTTTATTAAAGAATTATATTTTTTATAACAATTTTATATCGAAATTGGTGAAAGAGACCAGTTCAAACTATTGATTTTTTTCTTGTTCGTACATGCATTGCGGATGTCATGTATTGTCAAATGCACATTCAAAATGCTACACTGATAACCGAACTGATAGAACTAATATTATTTTTAGGGAATTTCCTCTTCTTAGAACAGAATTAAATAGAGATAATGAAGAAAATGAGTACTATTAATGATACAAGGATTTTATGACGAAAGACTTAAAAAGAACAGTGATACAGGGAAAAAAGAAAATGAAAGAGAGGGTGAAAGTAAAACACAGAAAAAAAAATGTGAAAAAGAATTTGAATAAAAAAATGTTAAAAAAAGAGAAAAATAGAATAACGATGCGAAGTGAATAAAGAAGCACAAGTGACAATGTGCGAATGAAAGTGCATAAAAAAAGATGAGAGAGAAAGGGAATGAAAGAAAGAAAGACAAGATGTGCGGGAACGAAAGAGTAATGAGAAAAAAACAAAACGATATAACTTATATTTTTAAAAAGTGACCTTTGGCATATTTAAAGACTTGTAAAAAACGTGCAACGAGTTAAATAAACAAACAAAATCAAGGGCGCAGTGTATTAAGAGGCGTCCGTCCTTCTCCATGTCTCTATTTCATGTACATGATGCACTTATACATACACATCTACTTATACATGCCGACAGATACACATACATACAAAATACACAAACACAACGCACTCGTTGAAATACTTGATAACAGGTGCGATTTACAATTCTGAGACATTTTCTAAATTACGGTACATACCTACATCTGTAGCCGTCAAGCGTCGCAAGAATATCCAGGCGTATGACTATACGAGTCCGAAATTAAAAAGAGTCCGCGGACAGTCGAATCATACATCCGTGCGCTTAAATTTCAATAAGAAATTGAAGATAAGCTGATGAAGAAAGTTGAAAAATAATTCAGACGGGAAAAGTGAAAGAAGCATTTAAACGCATTTCTCTGAAAGAAATATACTTTTCACAGACCACAGCTAACTACTAGGCACGTGTATCTATAGGCAGACGATTATCTCGGGGGCCTAAAAGGACAGAAATAATTTTGATCAATGCTCAATTCTCGAGCCTCGCTCACGCGATCTCCTCCGATTCGTTGCGAATCGAGTCTCCTCGATTTCGAATCGAATTCCTAATGTTTACGCGACATAATAAAAGCGCGGTGAGAAAAATCAGTCAAAATAATTGGCGGCTGTTAACGGACAAGCTCATTCTGTCGGAGGTGAAACTTTTCTCGCGACGGGGTGTCGAGCATCGAAGAGGAAAACAGAAGAAAAGGAAGGAACGAGCCAATAAACAATCACCGCACAGTCACTAATGTCATCCAACAACATAATCCATGCTAGGGGATAGTATTTTTAGGGATTTTATACAGGCATGCAACGGCATTTCTATGTTTAGCCCGAATTTACTGTCGAGAGTTATTGACGTTTCTTCGTGTATGTACGTAAGACGAGTGCGTGTGCGCGTAACACATGTAATGAGAGACAGTGTGAGCGGGAAAGTATGTGATGATTCTTGAGGGAGTGCTAGATGATAGAGAGAAAGAGAAAAAAAGGAAGAGGGAGAAAGAGAAAAGTGCGGGGCAAATGGAGAAGTCAGCGAAAATCATTTTTCCCAAATTCTGTACCTCGTTGCGTATACATTTCTATTTATATAACTATGCGTGTTAACATATTATGACAATGTGATTTATTATGTGTGATTCTGAACGTGGTGAGACGTGAGAAAATCTTTAAGGAAGTATTTTATACTAGGAGATAAGACGAACAAAAAAAAAGAGATGAAA